TTTTATTAACACCAGCAATATTATATCTGAGGAGGTGTTCAAAAGTTCTGAACCAAGTATAGTGAAAATAAGTAATGTTTGGTTATTTAATCACAGTTTCGGAAGTTGTTTGTGCCAAAAACTTTTCAGCACCTCCTCATATGTATGTGTGTTTGTGTTTGAAAATGTTTCCAGAATCTTTTTTATTTTCTAAGAAGACACTCGAACCTAATATATAATCATCACGCTAATTTTAAGTGCTGTCATTCTTTTAGATAACGAGGAAGAGTACATTAAGTGTGAGAAACCATGAGATGAAATGAAAATAAACAAACAAAAAAAAAAAATAAGATACACATCTTCTTTCTCTCTATGAGAGAATTTTTTTTTCCACGGAAGTTAATGGGAAATTCTAGCTAACATGAAACAATAATGAAAACAAAAGTCAAATCCTTGTCACTAGGGGCTCATAGCAGCCACATAAGTTTCCATAATCAAAAGACGGTGGGGAAAAAAAAAATCAGATCAAATAAACTTTTAACCGTCAAAGACCCAGACTGATGCAGTTTCCATTATGCTATAGATGGTTGTCCGCCTGAATGTTCAAAGTAGACTTGAGTAATCTGCACTCTATTGCTTCTCGGTCCAAGGAGAGTTTATTAGTTGGAGTGAACAATGGTTTGCCAGTGGCATTATGGTCTTGTCTAATCTCCTCTTCAGTTTCTGTAGAAGAGCAAAGTTCTTATAAAAGTCATCTCCACAAGACATTTTTCTTATGGCATCTTTAAATGCTCCCCATCATCTGAGATGAAATGGAAATATCCTACCAATTGATTAATGACACTCCTCCTCTCACAATGAAAATTGCTGCTGCTGCTATTGAAGAATTAAAGAAAAGAAAAAAAAAAGGAAGTATATATATATATATATATATATATATATATATATATAAGTTTTGAAAATGAATTAGTTTGGGCTCCCATATATTACAATTTGCGTATGCTATAAATACATATTCATTAATTTTGTAACATATCATCATTGTCATCATCAATATATTAACACGCTTGTCATGATTGGTTTAGAAGAAAATAGAAATAGGATGGGATGTAGAGAGTAAAACAGAGAGAGAGAGGAGTGTAGGAGATAAAAAGAGAGCACAAAATGGATTGGAGAGGCAAACAGAAAGAGATAGGGACATAGAGATTAGAGAGAGAGAGGGATGTAGATTGGAAAACAAGAAATAGGGGGACATAGAGAGACAAAAAGATAGTATGACACAGAGAGGGATTGGTCGAGAGCTAAACAGAAAGATGGGCATAGAGAACAAGACAGAGTGACATAGAGCAACAAAAAGACAATGCAACACAGAGAGGAATTTGGACTAGGGGTTATCTTAGATTAATGCAGTTGTTTGTAGTGAGGGATTAAATCATGTTTTGTTACCTAATGAACTGTCAAGGACATTTTGGTGATTTTTAAGAGAGACTATTTTACTTTTCTAATAACTATCTGGGAATGGTCATGGGTTGAAAAGTTCAGAGTGCAGCATTAAGAAATTTATTAGTAAATTCTGCTAGTATATATTACTGTCTTCTATTGCTTTTATCCATTATCAACCCCACTCCCTCTTATTGTGTTCTCACACAACTTCCTCTTATGAACAGATAGACATGGTACATCAGCCTATAAGAGACATTAAGGTCAGGCAAACAGATAAACAAATCTGGGGTCCTGAAAGATGTATTTACTGTAGCTCGTCGTAATTCATCAAGACAAAACACATACGTGTTAATGGTAATATTAGCCATTTCCTTCTAAGAAAACATTTGGCGTTCAGCTTCAGTTGAACTGCTTTCGATTGGAATTTATAAATTCTTTCTCTTAAAACAATTTTTTAGGAAAACAGGTTTCTCAAGTCCAGTAACTGTTATTGTTCTTTCCAGTATTGATAAAGGTTTCCTTCCTAACCATTTATTTGAAGTAGTGTGGAATGTCAACATCTTGATTATGTGATCATTTACTCTTCTAGTAATAAAGGCTATCCATTTTAGTTGTTGCTGTAGTTGGTAATCCTCAAGTGATGTGGGCTTTTTTTTTTTTTATTTGGTACAGTTCTTTGTTTGTGATTCTGTAGCAACACTCCACAATGTTCAAGGAAGTATGACCTTTGCCAAGAGCCTTAAGCTTTAATCAATCAAAGCCTCTTCTCACTCTTGATCTTAGAAAGCAGTTGTATACAGTGACTCTATGCTTAATGGAATCCAAACAAATCTACTGGAACTTTGTGGTGAAAACAAAATGAATTCCAATCAATGAATCAAACAGTTCTTAGAATGTTAAGATAATTATTTTTCTAAGAATTTATATAAGTCTAAAACACTAGTGGAAACATTTAAGGTAGAAATTTAGAAACTGAAAACTTCATTAGAAAAAAAGAAAAGAGTATTGAACTGTTATGCAATATCAGTCCTCCTGTAAGGCAGTGAATGCTGGACAACCTCCTCACAGGTGAAGAAGAGAGCAGAAGCAATGGAAAAAAGAAAAGAGTACTGAACTGTTATGTAATATCAGTCCTCCATGGATGAAGAAGAGTCTTGAGGCAACAGAAGGATGCTGAGAATGCCATTGACTGAACATGTGAGTAATGACAAAGTTTTAGGGAAAATAGAAAGAAAAAGCACACTTATACTGAGCATGAGAAAGAGAGTAGAAATTTGTTGAGCACATACTGTGGAAAGAGGGCTTGGAAAATTTGATACTCACAGGAGACATTGAAGGCAAGACCTATAGAGAAAAACAATGCATAACCAACCTAATGAACTTGAGGAAATGGATGACAGGTTTAGGAGAGATAACAAAAAAATAAAAAAAATTTCCAGTGTTACAAAGGATAGGAAATTGTGAAGAGCCATGATTGTCTACATCCTGAAGGGAAAGGGCATATAGCAGAAGAAGAAATATAAAGATTGATTTACTTGAAGTGAAAGAGAAATTTCTTGCAGACCACAGATGTCTTTGGTCATACATAGGATAACTGGCAACACTCTTATCTGGTGGACAACTATGGAACTACAGTAGTAAACATAGACCAAGTGATTTTATTTTTGTGTATCAGTTTTTGTATTCAGACCCTATAGGGTTAAAAAAAACAAACAAAAAAAACGATAAATACAAATGAAATTGATAATCTAAAGAACTCTTGTAAAAATTCTTATTTGTGGGTGAAACTGTTGAGGGTTGGCAACTCGGCTGTTTGCATTAAATATGATTTCTTTTCTGTTTGATTTGACAGACAATTTTTCATGTCAGCCACCCCCAGGAAAATTTATGTTGGGTGGAATATTTTTTAATATTTATTTTGTCAGTCAAAAACTGTATCAGCAACTATCTTCATAAAACATCTTTGGTCAGTTATTGAAACTCCATTATATATATAGCAATGCATATTTTATAGTTAAGCTTTGGCCAAGTAAAAATCCATGGGTAAGTAATCCAAGCTGAATCCTCTTAAAATAAAATATTAAAACTGATCCACAAAAGAGAGCTCAATATATTTATTATACAGCATTGAGATGAATTACATAAAAATGAAACTCAATTGTACCCCACTTTTATAGCCATTTCGCTCCTCAGGATAAATTCCCTGGAGCTTGTCAATACTAAAACATCTGATAAAAAATTGAATCATAATATCACAATTCATTTTTTTATCAGACATTTTAGTACTGACAAGCGCCAGGGAATTTATCCTGAGGAGTGAAATGGTCATAAAAATGGGGTACAATTGAATTTCATTTTTATGTAATTGATTAATTGATATATATATATATATATATATATATATATATATATATATATATATATATATATATATGGCCAAGTGGTTAGAATGTTTACTTTTTGACCATGTAACCCCGGTTTGAATCTCACCATGGTCGATTTGTCAGGAAGGTGATTTCTTGATGTCATCAGACTGGAGGAGTCAATCCCAGCATGCAACACCTTTGGAAAGTGCCTGAAAACCATACCACAGGTTGAACCAAACCTTGTGAGTGAAATTGGGTAGAAGGAACCCTTGTTGGGGGTGGTGGGGTTGGCATTGATGGTTGCACTAGCATGAAATCACAATTCAGATTGTTGATCATACTAGATAACATGCTTCTCACCCAGAAACTGTAACTAAGGTCTGCTCAGCATTGTTGCAGTGTAAGCAACAGGTGGGCTCTTTGGGTGTTGAACAAACACAAAATGCGCCTGAGCATGTGTCTACAATAGGGATTAGATAGCCACCCCTAGTAGACTGGTATCCTCAAATATGAGTGGCCAGCCATTAACTATTATATATATATATATATATATATATATATATATATATATATATATATATATATATATATATATATATATATATATTTTATTTGGGCAACAATCCTTCTTTTTATACAAGTTTCATTAAAAATGACAGACAAGGTACTGTAGTCAAGTTTCCTATTTAATTTTTAATTCAGTTAAAAGGGAAATTCATCCTTGGGTAAAAGCATAAGCGAAAGCACTTAGATGTGCCAAACGTTTGGACAATTTTATATAATTTACATCCAGAAAAGAAAAGAATTATACGATCACATGAAAAATTAAATAGAAAATTTAACCACGTTACCTTTGAACAGTTCATCCCTAATTTTTTATTTGGATGTGCAAGAACCTATTTGAAAATTGGTAAAATGTACTAATGAATTAAACAAACCTTGCCAGTTTAATATAATTTGTTTTAATGAATCCTTCGTGTTTAATTATATATATATATAGATAGATATATTATGAAAGTTATTAAGTCAGATAATTATTTAATATATTTTCATATATAATACAAAACACCACATATGGTTTACTCCAAGAATATTACCTTTATTCATTTTAATATGATAGTCTACTAGGTTAGAGATGTAAGTTGGTAGTATGACTGTTGGGAAGGAAACTTCCCACCAATAAATGATTTCTTTGCCTCTTTCATTTGATTTATGTTTCACTTTCTCTCCAAGTCATTTTTTATTTATTTCTCCTCTTCATGTATTTTCTCCCTTATTTTCATTTGGATATTATCGCTTTCACTTTCTCTCTGTACCTTTCACCTTTTCTCTCTTTGTGCAACTCTATTACTCTCATCTCCTCTCTCTCTCTCTTTCTGTCACTTCTCCACTCTCTCTCTTTCTGTCACTTCTCTGCTCTCTCTCTCTCTCTTTCTGTCACTTCTCTGCTCTCTCTCTCTCTTTCTGTCACTTCTCTGCTCTCTCTCTCTCTCTTTCTGTCACTTCTCTGCTCTCTCTCTCTCTCTGTCACTTCTCTGCTCTCTCTCTCTCTTTCTGTCACTTCTCTCTCTCTCTCTTTTCTGTCACTTCTCTGCTCTCTCTCTCTCTTTCTGTCACTTCTCTGCTCTCTCTCTCTCTCTCTGTCACTTCTCTGCTCTCTCTCTCTCTTTCTGTCACTTCTCTGCTCTCTCTCTCTCTCTCTCTCTCTCTCTCTGTCCTTCTCTCTCTCTCTCTCTCTTTCTGTCACTTCTCTGCTCTCTCTCTCTCTCTCTCTCACTTTTCTGCTTCTCTCTCTCTCTCTCTTTCTGTCACTTCTCTTCTCTCTCTCTTTCTGTCACTTCTCTGCTCTCTATCTCTCTTTCTGTCACTTCTCTGCTCTCTTTCTGTCCTTCTTCTCTGCTTCTTTCTGTCTCTCTCTTTCTGTCCTTCTCTTCTCTCTCTCTCTCTCTGTCCTTCTCTGCTCTCTCTCTCTTTCTCTCTCTTTCTCTCTCTCTCTGTTCTCTCTCTCTCTCTCTCTTTCTGTCACTTCTCTGTTCTCTCTCTCTCTCTTTCTGTCTTCTCTCCTCTCTTCACTTCCCCTCTCTCTCTCTCTCTCTCTTTCTGTCCCTTCTCTCTGTCTCTCTCTTTCTCTCTTTCTGCCTCTTCTCCTCTTTCCCTCTCTTTCTGCCTCTTCTCTCTCTCTCTCTTTCTGCCTCTTCTCTCTCTCTCTCTTTCTGCCTCTTCTGCTCTCTTTCTCTCTTTCTGCCTCTTCTCCCCTCTTCTCTTTCTGCTTCCTCTTTCTCTCTTTCTGTCTCTGCATGTTATCCCTTATTTCCATTCGGTTCTTATCCCTTTCTCTCTTTGCTCCACTATATTGTTAGCTTTTTGTCTCTTTCTTTCTGTTTCTGATCCTCTTTCTATCTCTGCTCATCTTTCTCTCTTTCCAACTCTGCTCCTCTCACTCAGTCCACTCTGCTCTCTCCCTCTCTGCCGTTTCTCACTTTCTTTCTTCTCTCTCTGTCCATCTCTTCTCTTCTCTTCTCTCCATCCTTCTCTCTCTTCATTTCTGCTCTTCTCTCCCTCTTTTCATCTCTCCCCCTTTTGCTTTCGCCATCACTGCCCCCTTTTAATTCTCTCCATCTCTGCTCTTCTCTCTTTGTCTTTCTGCTCCTCTATCTCTCTTTTTCCACCACTGCTCCTATCTTATCCTCTCTCTTTTCTGTCTTTGTTACCCTCTACTTTTGTTCATTCATATTTATTTACCAAAGCATGTTAGTTTTTATCTTATTAATGGGCATGACATGCATATTCATCTGTATAAAATCTACACACATGTCTACAGACCCTTCTCTCCGCCCCCCCATCAGAATAATTTATATTCTATAAACAGCCTTTTTTTTTTTGCTTTTAAATCTGCTTTATGATATATTACAGGTAGTGGATTTTTGCAAATTAAATTTTGTTTATGATGTCATTTCTCCACCCTCCAGATACAAAAAGAAAAAAAAACAACGATTCATATGCTGCAATAAAGAACATGAAGAGAATTTCATGAAGCTTTTGCTGTGATTATGAATTATTAAAAATATTGGGGGGAGGGAAGAAATATTGGTGGAGGTGTGATGTTGGATTGCTTGATTTTATTTTCATTTTTCCACAGAGACGAAGGATAATCAAACGGGCAAATGAGATTTTATTAAATTTCAATAAACCTTCCAAGCTTAGGTCAAGTGAAAAAGAAAAAAATTAGAAGTATAATATTTATTTGGAGATGAGAATATTTGCATGTATTTATTCTCGGGATCTCCCAGATTCAATGGGAATGAAAATTGTAATATTAACTGCTTCCTTATAAATGATTATTGCTGAAAGACTCTATCAAGCTTTACATAAGAAGGGTGAAGTTCGGTCTGTTGCTTTGGATATCTCAGTAACATTTGACAAACATATTGGCCTTCTTCAGTTGAAAGTTTATGGTATTTCTGGATTAATTTTTTGAACTGATTCTGTCTTTCTTATCAAATTGTGAAATGAAAGTTGTCTTGAATGGCCACTCTTCTAGATCTTTTTGTATTAATGCATGTGTCTGACAAAGCTCTATCCTTTGACCTATGTTGATCCTACTTTTCATCAACTAGTTTCCTGATAGTACCAGTTCTCAACTTGGTATCTGTACAACCATTTATTCCTGTCAATACTAAGTTTGATCAGTTCAATAAGGTCTACCGTTCATCCTTGCTTTGAATAATGCTGCCATATCTGATCTGTTTCTCTTGGTATATATATATATACATATATATTTTCTTGATAAAATACAAAGAAGAATCTGCAATATCATTGGTCCTGATCTGGCATCTTGGCTTCAGTCACTTTCCCACTGCGTTCTGGGTATGACGATAAACTATATCCGCATCCAGGGTAAGATGATAAACTATATCCAACAGTAAGGCCTCTGATCAGGAGGCTTTGAGGAGCATGGAACCTCCTCTTGATTGCTGGTGTTCCCAGGTCCACCCTGATCTGGGGTGTGGCACCTGTTAGGGTCCCAGCTATGGGAAAATAGTTAACCCCAAAACAGGTAAAAAAAGCATTATAAAAGTGTAAAAATAGGTTTTAATACCAGAAATACTTTGTAAAAAATTATTACCAGAAATAAATTTTTGAAGAAAAAAAATATTACCAGCAATATGTTTTTGAAAAAATAATATTACCAGCTATACATTTTTGAAAAAATAATGTTAAAATGTTGTTTAATCCTGTTTGTTATAAACAGAGCATTTACTTAAATATTTGTATCTATAAAAAGAATGTATAAACATAAAAATGTCTTAAAATAATTGTCGGACTTTGTCCATTTCATAATATATATATATATATATATATATATATATATATAATGATAAATTAAGAAAACATCTTTTTGAGAGAATATTCGGTCTGAAGAGATGAATATAACAATATTCATGAAATAAATTACAGCTGATTATAATTATTGATTTTTAAGATGTTTTTATATATGATAGCTGGCTACTTATATTCAAGGATACCCGTCTACTAGGTCAGCTAGCCAAACCCTATTGCAGACACTCGCTCAGGCACATTTGTGTTTCCTCAAAACCCACAGAGTCCACCTGTGGTTTATACTGCAATTATGCTGAGCAGACCTTACTTACAGTTTCTGCTTGAGAGCATGTTATCTAGCATTATCAACAGTCTGAACAAGGCCAGCTAACTCAAGCCCTCGGCCACAATGACTCGCTACTTCATGCTAGCACAGCTATCGATGGCCTTCAAGAGTTTCATCTACCCAATTTCCCTCACAAAGCTTGGGTCAAGCTGGTTTTCAAGTACTTTTCAAAGGTGCCACACACTAGGATTTACCTTGATCCAGTCTGATAACATCAGGAAGTCTTCTTCCTGACAAATCAATGATGATGAGATTTGAACCCATGTCTCATAATCAGAATGCGAACATTCTAATCATTCAGCCATGTCCCCAATATATATATATATATATATATATATATATATATATTAGTGGAAAATATACATACATATGCAAGATATATAAATACCCATACATGTATATTTTTAGAAAAAAAAAAATTTCCAAGAGGAAGAATCCAGGTAGAACTCAATGTCTAGGACAGAGTAAGGATATAATAAAAAGGCTTAAACACTAATATTCCATCGTCATAATTTATTCCATTGGAATCGTAAATACGATCCATTATATTGATAATATTAGTGGAAAATATACATACATATGCAAGATATATAAATACCCATACATGTATATTTTTAGAAAAAAAAAAAGAAAAAAATTTCCAAGAGGAACGATTCCAATGGAATAAATTATGACCATGGAATATTAGTGTTTAAGCCTTTTTATATTATATATATATATATATATATATACACAAAGTCCAAAATGTTAGTACTACAACCAGAAAGCCTGCCAGGTGTCCAAAAGAAAACTCAATAGAAAGACACAAAGAAAATACTAACAGCAAATAAGACAAAAACCAAGAAAAAAATATGCTATAGAAGAAAATAGTAAAATGAAATATAAAATAAAACAACAAAAAAAAACAAACAAAAACAAATGGCAGGCATCTACCTAAACACTAATGAAAAGTGCTCTATGCCTGGGTTATCCAGACAAAGCAAAAATGCTCAACAGTGTCACACCTCAGAAAGAAACAAATTTGGACCACTACTTAAGTTTCACATTACTGTGATCATCAGGTGAGCAGAAAACTTAATGATCACAGTAATGTCAAACTTATGTAGGTATGTATATATTCAAACATTTTTTTAAATATTCCCTGGCAGATCTAAATTTTTTTTTGGGGGGGGGAATTACCAACCATATACACTTTATTATTTATGCCACAGTGCTTATCTTAGTTTTATATTCAAAACATTTCATTTGTACACTCTGATTGTCTTATATGGTGTGCTTGACCAAATTTTTTAGCCACTTTTTTTCTAATCTCCTCTACCCTCATCAATAGTATTATATTTTATAATATAAGCTGCGTGAAGACTATTCTTTTAATGAATATTATATTGCTTTTTTTTTACCACATGAGGATTGTGTGACAGTTACATAAACCACCTTTATGTATACATTAAACTTTTAGCTGTGAACAGCAATAAAATTTAAGTACTGTCTTTCTGTTTATATTTTATGTTTGTTCTGTTTTTGGATATATCTTTTATACCTTATATTGAGCCATATGTCTGTAGTGTCTATAAAAGTTGCCTTTATATATAATAATAATAATAATAATAATAATAAAAAGTTAATGGTCAGAGTTGAATTAGACCAGAAAACAGTAGTATTAAAAAAGTGGTCAATACACATATGAAAAGAGAAAAATTTAACATGTAGAGCTTTTCAGTATAGGAAATTAGCCTATTCTGTTACCTTGAAAGGATATATATATATTTCATTTAATCCCTCACCTTTCCAATACACCTGATTTTCCCTCATCCTCCTCACCTCATGTACATGTTCATTTATTTATTTTTTAAAAAAATATAGCTTTCATAAATTTTTATTTTCAAAAAATAAAGTGTCAGGAAATCATTTGACCAAAAAGTTGTAACCAAGGTAGTGGAATCAGTCAATTTCCTAATTTTCTATACTATATATATATATATATATATATATATATATATATATATATATATATATATAACCACCATTAAACCTGGCATGCTATGACCATTCAGGCACAGAGAACTTCCAGTGAAGCAAAGCACAAATTACTGCTTTTAAACACACACCTTTCTCGCTGATTTTTCTCAATCTATCATATCTGCTCTGAAATTGTAGTCTAACTTAAACAATGATAACATATAGGAAATGGTTTAACTCCAACAAATAATTAATATATTTTCTGTTTATATGTTATTTTTTATGGATGCACTTTGAGTAAATGCTCTGTTCTTTAATTAAACAGTATTAATTACATTTACCGACCTAAATATTCAAGAAATTTTGTAGAAAATATGTGTTCTCCAACAGGAATTGAACCTGTAGCTGATATGGAACTACCATTAAGCCTGGTTTGCTCTGACCATTTAATCTATGATATGTTGTCATTGTTTACATTGAGTTATGAAATCCAGAGCAGATAGGATATATTGAAAATGATCAGCAAAGGTGTGTGTTTAAAATCAGTAATTCAAGTCCACTAAAAAATGTATACACATTTCAGGAAAGGAAAAACTTGGATAGATATTGTAATACTAAATTTTATTCAGACATTAATTCAGAGATTCAGACAACATTAGATTAATAGAAGTTAC